TAAAAGACATTGTTCTAATGATGAGACATATAATGTGATTTAGTGCAGCCAAAGCCAAGGTGTTCATCAGACACAGAGAGACCTAGGAAAAGGGAAAAATAGAAGCCAATGTAACAGTTACAGAGGTCAGTGAAGTAGGTTCTTTCATAGTGAATATACCACTGTTCATTTAAGGTGTGTGTGGCTGTGACCGCGTGGTGCATAACATTACCCCCCACCCCTTAACCAAATAAAAGGTGATATAAATTGGAGAATACACATTTTCCTTTCAGCCTAAATAAACTCACTCACTTTTTTCCAAAACTAATTGTTCCACATTATTAAAAAATTATTCAAAGTGCTAGAGTGCCTGACAAATAGTAAATTGCCACCAGGGAAGCCCCGATGAATGTTACCTGTTATTATTTGGACTTGGAGTAAGAACAAAATGTATGAAATAATATCACTGTCATTTTGTGAACTCATATATCCATATATATATACATATATTCCCATTTAAATAGTCATACTAAGTGTGAAATAAAGGAAACATGGAATGTGGACTGTGGACTGTGACTAAGTAAGTTTATTTAAAGAGATATACCGAGAAAAGGAAAGCTATACCCATTTGAATGCAGAGTTCCAAAGAATAGCTAGGAGAGATAAGAAAGCCTTCCTCAGTGATCAATGCAAAGAAATAGAGGAAAATAATAGAAGGGGAAAGGCGAGAGATCTCTTCAAGAAAATTAGAGTCAAGAACACATTAGGAATAAGATGCCTGGGTTGAAGCCTTGCCTTGCATGAAATTGTCATGTGACTGCATATAGTTATTTAACATAACCCTTAAAGTGGGAACAATGACAGTACTCACTCAGCTGAGACAAATTTTGTAGAAAACCAAATGGGAAGTTACATGTAAAATCCTTAACCTGGTCTCCAGCACATGGGTGCACCTGATTCATAGAATGTTAACTCTTAGTCGTTGTGAAACTAAGGCTGTTACATTAGTTGCTGCATTGCTAGCCAGTTATTCACTGCACGCTTCCATGAGCCAGGTACCAAAGGAGGCTTTGGGAAAAGAAAGAATAGAGGAGACATGGTCCATGTCCACCTGTAGCTTTTGGCAGAAGTATTGACAAAGAAACACTCAAGTAAAATAATCGAAGCCTGCAGCATGCTAAGAAGGAACTAAGAATGTATTGATGCAGAAAATGTGGAGGAATTTCTCCTCAGTTTAGGGAGTCAGGGAAAGTGTAAGGAAGTACATGTAAAGTGAAGTTTTCAAAGGGGTCAGCATGTGAATGAGGGTCATGTGGAACACTGCCCTCAGGTAGGTGGGACAGCATTTGTAAAGGTCATGAGTTTAAAAAAAAAAACAACACGAAACACTTTGGCACATGGGAGGAAAGGATTTCCAGAATGGCTTAATCATGTGGAGGGAGAGTGCTGTCTAACGTGACTGAGGAATGGGCAGAACCCAGCTCATGCTGACCAGGTGGACCGAGGAGAGGAGTGTAGGTAGTCTGTTTGAAAAAGTCAGTCACTGAAAGGTTTCACATACCGGCAATGAATGATATATTTTTTACGCTTTTGAGAGACCACTTTTGCTGCTTTGTAGGGCAAGGCATCTAAATTTTTTTATCATGTACACCAATCAGCATGTGACTCCAAAATGTTTATTTATATGTTCATATTCTCTCCCTCTCTCCCTCAACAGATAGAGATAGGAATATATAAATAACATAAATATTTATGTTAATCAGTAATTAAATTTAACTAGTCTATTTCCTGCACACAAATGAATCACCTTGTGGTGCCCCTTTGGTCCTTGTACCCCACTTCGGAGATGACTGTTGTAGAGAAAAGACGGAGCAAAGAAATCTTCAAGTAGGGAGACTAACATGGAGACTATTGGACTAGCCCAGGCTATTACCAATGATGGTAACTTACAGTAGGTGGCAGCATATTTTTCATATGCATGATGAAAAAGACTCCTCATTGGAATTATAGATCTACACTCTACTGACCTTTGATATCAACTATTTTCCTAACAAATGACCCATTCTTAGTAGATCATATTAATAAAACCTGTTGGGTTGCTTGTTGGGTTGCTGGGTTGCAAACACCTTGAAGTAGACTAGCTCACTTTCCTCCATGAGTAGCCTATTTCTTGAGTCCTCTAGAAAAGCACAATAGTTTAGGGAGTTACTGGTACTTTCCCTTTCTGCTTGTTGGCAAAAGTCCCCGATGATCAGTCATAAGAAAATGAATTTATAAAAAAAAAATAGTTAAAGTTAGTTTCTTCTACATCTGTGTAAACTTTGTCACAAATGGATGATTAAAGTCAGGCATTAAAAAAGTGCCTGTCTCTATAAATTCTCAGCAAATGAATTAAAATGCTCTCACATTAAAGAGATTATTGTAGTAGGTGTCTGAAAAGATGAGCATTGTAAACTCCTTGAGGACGAAATCTCAGCTTTACTTGACAGGAAGAACTTCCTTTTGAAACCAAAACAATCTAAATTTTGGTAGGGTAATAATATAGTAAAACCAGATAATGTGAATCTACTAATTTATTTTGCTTTTTCCAGCCCTATATTTCGATGGGAGTTCATTTGGGTTCTGAGGCTTTAATCTGGTTTTTCTCTCTTGGAGGAATTCTCACAGATTGGAAAGGAGGTACTAGGGCAAGAAAGGGCATAGAAAGAAGGTATTAAGCCAAGGATCCTGCAAAACTTTGAAAACCTTTCTGAGGAGAGGAAAACAACTGCTCTGGGTTTTGACAAACAACACTTGCAATTTAAGAGGTAGGAGAACCTATGGCTCACTTCATCTAGTAGAAGACTCAATCCGCCAGTAGTCCTTTTTTAGGAGGATTCAGGTTTGGGTAGTAGTGGTGGTTTTGGAAGAACAGCTTGTGTCTCCTGTAATGGCAAACAGAACACTCCATTGTTCTTTTAAGTATGCAATTTTAATGGCTGAGGAAACTGTGCTTTTTGTATTGGCACATTTCTTGGATTGATCATGAGAACAATCACTTGAACTGTTTTGTAGCACATCTCTGACTTGGAAGAAGAGAAATTCCGCTTGGACAGAATTAAAGAGTATTATTAATTGAAGAATAATGATCATTTTGTTACTTTCAAATTTGGTTTTCCCATCACAAACCCGGGATTCAGATTTTTCAGTGAGGTTAACTTTGCAAATATGAAAATGAACAAACATATAATGAGAAATTGGAAATTGTACTGTTTTATTGTGGGATTCATTTATTCAATCAGCAAATATTCATGGAATAATTTAATAGCTACCATGTGATAAGAAAGTATTATCAGGCTCATGAAGACTACAAAGACATGAGAAGGTATTTCAACCCTTAGAAGCAACTTTCTGTTTGAAAATGGCCTGGATTTTTGAGAAATTCTTTGTAATTTTCAAAGCCCATTCACCTACTATAAATCTTCATATGAACTTTTGAATAGTGGCAGGGGAGCTAGGCAGGGCAGACCATATAATCATACAATTATGGAATTTTAGGAGTGAAAGGATTTTTAAAGGTCATCTAATGCAACAACTTTGTTTTAAACCTGGGAAGCTGAGAGACTACTGCTTGTTTGAGATTCCACAGCAAACTAATGGCAGAGCATCCAGCATCCACATGAAGTTTGCTATTAGGAATCTAAAGGCCTGTGTTAATAGCTCTGGGTTAGGCACTAATGCCACAGGAAAGATGGAGCACCATGCTTCCTTTCCCGTATGCATCTGCACACAGAACTGTATATAACAGACTTACAGTAAATGCGCTCAGTCATGTCCCACTCTTTGTGACCACATGGACTGTAGCCTGCCGGGCTCCTCTGTCTATGGGATTTTCCAGGCAGGAATACTAGAGTCGGCTGCCACTCCCTTCTCCAGGGGATCTTCCCCACCTGCGATTCTAACCTGGGTATCTCCTGCATTGGCAGGAAGATTCTTTACCACTGAGCCACCTGGGAAACCTATCTTACAATAAGTATTTATTGAATTAATGACTGACAGATTTCCTACCATATAGGACACTGTGTCAAGTACTAAAGATAAAAGGCAACAACGAACTGGATACTTCTTCCAAGTTGCACACAACATAGTCTTCCTGTCCTCAATGAGTGTGCAGTCTTTTAAGGAAACCAAGGTATAGTCCACAAAATACAGTAAGATTGGGTTCAAATACAGTGAGTGCTTTAGGAGGTCAAGGAAGGAATCTAAGAGTGATAATTGATGAAAAAATCCCTCAGACTACAAACACACACACACACATCACACACCAGCGATATTTTAATTACATCATTCTCTGCTAATGCTGGGACACACTGTTTCCAAGGTAAGGTCAAGATGCCAACTCGCTGAGACTAAGAAGAGGAGAAGCCAACTCATCCGTATTCTCCAAACTGAAAATGACCAGAGAGGGGGATTTTAAAAAGAAAGAAACAGCCACAGAGGCTGACAGAAACAATAAAACAGGAATAGGAAATCCCCACACAGTGACCCCTCCGCTGGCCACCCCCACGGGAGGGGCGCTCGGGCTCAGCGCAGAGCCCGGCGGCTGCGGGCGCGCAGAGCGCGCGGAGGCGAGGAGCGGGCGGCGGCGGCGCGGGCGCGCCCGAGGGGAGGGTCGGCGGCTCACCCAGTCCCCGCAGCCACCCGCGCGCGGCGCAGCTCGGGAGCGGGACGCGGCGCTCCGAGCCCCGGCAGCGCCCACCCTTCCTCCCGCGTCGCGCGCCAGCGCCCGCTCCGCCCGCGACTTCAGTTCGGCTCCACCCCCGCGTGGCGGCGGCTCGCTCTGTCCGAACCCGCGCTCGGCACCAACCCAGCCCGAGCAAGCGGCCGCCACCTGCCTCGCGCCGCCACGGCCCGCCCCCACCGCGGCCCAACTTGGATGGAGTTGGGGTCCTGAGCGCCTGCCCCTCGCAGCCAGCCAGCTGAGAGCCCCGCACCGCCGCCTCTGGTCCGGGACCCCTTCTCCACTCCTCTCCGCTCCCGCGATGGGAAAAGTTGGCGCCGCCCGCGGCTCCCCAGCCGGGCTGAGCGCGCTCCTCGCGGGCGCGGGGCTCTTGGTCCTCTGCGCCCCGGGCTCCTGCGGCGGCGGCTCCTGTTGTCCCCCGCGGCATCCCAGCGCGGCTCCACGCTGGGCTCCGACCCCAGGGGGGCTTCCTCACGGGGGACCGCGAGGCAGAGCTCCTGCTGCGCCCCTGCCCCAACTCGGAAGACCCCTGTTCGCAGTGGCCCCCGCAGACCGAGCGCTGTCCCTGGAGCGGGCCCCGGGCACGGGGGCGTCGGTGGCGGTCGCTCCACGCTCTGGCCGGAAGAGACGGAGTGGAGAGGATCAGGAGCAGGCTGAGCGAGGAGAGGGGACGAGTAGAAACCCTCGGGGAGTGCCAAGGGACGGAGGGCAGCGGGAGCCTGGGGCTCTGGAGCGGGACCCGGACAAAGCCACTCGCTTCCGGCTGGAGGAGCTGAGGCTGACCAGCACCACGTTCGCGCTGACGGGCGACTCGGCACACAACCAAGCCATGGTCCACTGGTCTGGCCACAACAGCAGCGTGAGTAAAATGGGACTGAGGGCAAAGGGGTGAAGAGGGAAAGGGTTAAAGTCAGCTGTGTGATTTGATGGAGAATTTGGGGACATGGGGTTTGGGGACTTGAAAGATGCTGCAAATTAGTCTTCCCTGCCCTTCTCCCCAAGGAGTTAAATGCCACCAACTAGGTAGTTACCCCCACCCCTTTCCCAGCAACACCGGAGTCCTCTCCAAACCTCTAACAAAGCTTCTCACAGGGCAGGCAGATGCCTGCTTCCCGTTTCTTTGGTCTCAATGGTGTAGGATGGAGCCAAGACAAGGCAAACAGAGGGGGTTAAAGTATTCTGAATGCGGAAATGAAAGGGTTAAATTTCCAGGCAGCCTCCTGTTCCCTCAAGTGACTTTTCTTTTACTTGCTAGACTTAAGGATGAGAGCAAGTAAGATTTTTTTTAAAGTCTTTATTTGTAGCCTTTTAATTTTATTTTTGTGCAGAGCTCCTAACCCCTTCTTCCTAGCATGGAAAAGAAATTCAGTGGATAATGAGCTGCCCTTAATGCATTCTGTTTCTGGGGACCAAGTGGATGCAAGTTTCAGGACGGGAACTCTCCAGCATCTTCTAACAGCATCAGCCAGTGTGTTTGGAGAGCTGGGGCTTTCCAGCCTGTGAATGAGTGGTTGTTCTCGGACTTGATCGGTCCCAGGAAGATCAGATATATCTCTGTGACAACAACTCCCTGTTCTCCTCCATTGCCTGACCTCCTGTAGTGAAGAGCACGAATAAAGACTTCACTCTTGCCTTGTTAAGGAAGGAGAGGGATTGCTGGATTTCCAGGAGGCTGATACTTGGGAGGGGAGCTTGGTTGCAAGTCCATGAGCTGCGGCCAAGTCAGGGAAGGTTTTAGATGTTTGGAAAAACCTGAATATGTGGAATCTGAGGGAGCTATTCCAACTTAAACTGCACCTAGAAACTTCAAGGAGCTGAAATAGTTAAGAAAGAGCTTTGGTGGTAATAACTGTAGGTGATTTAAAAGTATGGAAACTTCCCTATGTTGCTGTTAAGCAGACAAGAACATAGCAACCAAGGACAGTAAAATGAAAAAGAAAAATCAAAGTTTCAGCTTCTATTAGGATTACTGAGATTGTGGTATTTGTACTAGGCACAAGCTGTGCATCCTGGTACATTTCAAAATGTTTTAAGTTGTGATGTAATTGCCAGAAACCTTCCCAGGGAAGTGCCACTTTAGTAAATTGTGTTCATTGTCAGCTTTTTTAATGAGAGTTGTGAACATTTTAAAATAAGAACCTATCATTGTGGATTTCTTGGGTACATAGACATAAATTGTATTAAAGCAAATTGTGATAAATAATATTTTGTATCATATCTCTGAGAATACCAGCATGGCTTTCCCTACAGTTTAGCCTTTATGATGAAAGCTATGGTGCCCAGTACTGGTTTAATCAAATAATTGAAACTGAAATTATTTTCATTCAAGGTCTGGAGACCCTTGCCCTCATTCCTTACCTTAACTGTCATATCTTTCATATCATAATCACTAAAATTAATCCCCCAATTTGAACTTGAATCTTCTTAAACTGATTAAATAACTTTTGCTCTGTTTTAAGTGATTAACTCAAAGCCCTCAGCTTTAAGACGAGATTTTAAACACATCAGACATATTAGATCTTGTATCAAGAAGTAAAGGACCTTGGACTCAAAATATTTCTGGCTTTTAATGTAATTCAAGCTGTAAAATATCACTCACTCATTAGACCTCTACTTTAGTTCACCTCTTGAAAGATCTTGGAAAGAGCAAGAAAAGGAGAGTACATCTTTGGCAAATTTTAGACACCATTTAAGAAATGCTGCCAAGCCCTGCTGGCCCTTTTTAAATGGTGCTTATAAACCCAGTCAGGCTTATGGGTCAGGCTTGGATGGGTGACATGTAAAGAAGTCAGAGATGATGTAGGAAATAATCAAAGTGCTAAAAGTTGGAGCATTGAAATCATTAAACTAATGAGATCTCTATCCTAAGTCTTCATTCTACAAGGTCACACCTTCCATCCCTGCCCACTTACATGCAAATTGTTGTAGTTTTTTTCTCAGTGTATACATATAGGTAGTAGAGGAAGAGAAACAGTGTTTTATCAGGATCTTCCACAAAGCCATCCCAGATTCATAGGAGAAAGAAAGTTTAAAATATTTTTGAAAGTAAGGAAGGTGGAGAGAAACTTTTCTGGGCAACTTTGTGATGTGAAAAGCAGAGTGGAGACCTGAGTTCTAGTTCTGCCTTTTTGTGGTTTGATCCTGACAAGCTGATTGCCTGAGTGTGTATTCCTTCATGTCTAAAACAGGAGGGGAGGATGCCTGTCAGATTCATTACTGAGAATTATGTGCCAGGATACACTTAAGAGGGCGTCGTGACTGTAAAGTAGTGTATACATCTTTGTAACTCTCATCTCATGGCTCTGCGCGTTCCCCCAGAGGAAGAAATCCACTAACCTAACTCTGAGGACAGCAGTGGGGGGAGGGGGCTCTCATTTTCTTCTCCTTTAACTGTCATCCCTGGATCCACCCCCAACCCATTCAGGGCCAGGGGCAATACACATCCTCTGAACCTGCCTCACCTTTAGCTAAAAGTCTTTGCTAAGTAGGGCTTCTGATGACAATAGCACCTGCATTAAAGGTGTAAATGTATGGTAATTATAGGCTGCCTGTCAAACTTGTGAAGAATTCTGGATTCTTCTTGAAACTCTTTCCCTTCTCCTTCCTGCCCCCTCCTCTGTTGGACTTGTGCAGTTGGGTAAAGATATGACTGTTTTGCCTCATCTGTGGGTGTGATGTGATTCCTCTGTGCTGCAGTCTAGCTTGATGAAAAGTGTTGATGAAGTTGGTAGAACACCTGGGGGGATCTTTTGGCATGAAAGGTGCTGGGTATGAATCATTTGTCATGAGCTTGGTGTCGTAAGCAAGAACATATTGTTCCTACCCTACTCATCCAAGGCATGCTGTGCCCTGATCTAAATTTACAGAGCAGTTCTTAGTTTGTTAAAATATATATTTATCTATACATATGTATGGTGGGGATGTGTTTATTCTTTATATCCAAGGAATTTCAAAGTTCTGTACTCATTAATCCTTACAATATCCCTGAGGCAGGTGTCAAGTGTTAATATCTCTTTTCATATTTTTATGCTGGAGTCAATTTGAATATTTTAGTTCACTCTCTTGTCCCTTTCTCACTAAAAATAGTGTTACAAGATTTGTTAATAGAGGCTTTTACTTGACATATTTTGCTATTATGATATTTTTAATACTGCATTTATCATAATGAATGATGATCTGGTTGGTTTTTATATACTTTTTTGCCTTTTGTTGTCCTGGGACTTGACATTTACCATCCATCCTTAGTAAACTGAGTTCCAACTTGAGTCAGGTTTTGGGGTAGATGCCTGACATTCATCATTTCATTTAATTTTCCCAAAAATTTTATGAGTAGGTATTATTATCTTCATTGCATTAGTGAGGAAACTGAGGCTTCAGAAGGTTAAATGATTTGCTAAGAAGATATAACAGTTCAGTGGCAAAACAGACACTGACTCCCAGGGTGATCTGACTTCAAAATCCCACAGAATGACTTGTCTTAGAGACGTTAAGGTGGGGTAGAAAAACCCAGACCCTTGGAGATCTGTATTTTAAAGGCTTCTGTCTGGGAAAGATTTCACATGATGGTGGAGGAAGGCATAGTCTTACCTGGAAACCCCATCTCTTTGTAGGAAAGAAAGGACTGTATAACCTGTGCCTGTCACATTGCATTCTTTACCTTAAAGTAGTGATTTGGCTGTTCTCTTATCCGCCCACATCTTCATCTTTACTGAGACATGGGATCCGCACCTGGTGATTCATTGAGCACGAGGTAATGTGCCATCATTCAGCTTTCAGATCTGGTGTTCTTCAGGAATAGATTCCTTTTCTAAGTTAATTACAAATCTGATTTTATAGAGAGGTTGCTTATGAATACTTCATTTGACTATATACTTTCATGTAATTTTTTAAACTTTTTTTTTCTAGAGTGAAATGATAAAAGGATTTTCGATTTCTCTAGCAAGCCACATAATACCTTCTTCTCTCATCAGTACTTTATTCTGTTAATGGGTGTTAATGTGGTGTGACATGGAAGGCAGTGGGTTTGGAAGCAGAGTTGAGTTTGAATGTTAGCTGTCTAGTGACCCAGCATGCTGCTTTGAGCAAGACCCTTAAATTCTTTGAGCTTCTATTTTCTCAACTATAATATGGGGAGGGCACATCTTTTTTTTTTTTTCCCCTGAAGATTTGATATCACTTACACAAAGAGGCAGTACATAGCAAGTGCTCAATAAATGGTACTTATTTTGTGTAGCAGAAATACATCTCTCCTGGTAATTAAGACCCCTGGGTTATAGTCTTGGCTATACGCAAAAGTTAGATATGTCCTGACAGTCTATCAAACTTTTGTAGCCTCAATTTTGTCCTCTGTAAAATGACATGAATATACCATAACATCACTGAAATTCCTTACAGATCATAATCCAATTAAAAAATTTTGTCAATCTGTAGGTATTTTGCACCTTCTACATCTAAATAAAGTGCCCCGGGAGTATTCAGGATTCAGAAATGACACACGGAGCTATACTCTTGACCTGTGAATGAGCACACCTTTCATTTCACAAGATTCTTCCTCTCTCTGTGGTTTATATGCATATCTTTAATAGGAAATTAAGGCATTTGAGACCCAAGCAGGCATTCATTTCAATGTAGATTTGCAGCAAAATATAGTTTATTCAGTTTATTAAATCATATCTTCAGGTTAAGTCTCTCGGTGAAAGTAAAAGTGTTAGTCATACAGCTGTGTCCGATTCTGCAATCCATGGACTGTAGCGTGCCAGGCTCCTCTGTTGTGGAATCCTCCAGGAAGAATGCTGGAGTGGGTAGCCATTCCCTTCTTCAGGGGATCTTTGTGACCCAGGGATCAAATCTGGGTCTCCT